ATTCTTCCCTGTGCTTTGGCTTCTCTGCGCTCCAGTGCAATTTTCAGAGTCTCTTCTGACATCCATTTTGGTCTTTTCTTAATTTTTCTAGTGTCCATATATAGAGAGAACACAACTCTGTCGCACTCCTTTCCCAATTCCAAATCAAGCAGTGCTCCCCTGCTCTGTTCACACAACAGTCTCCTGGTCCATGGATAAGTTCCACAATCAAGTGCTCTGGGATTCCAGTTCTTCTCAATGTCATTCACAACTTGTTATGATCCACACAGTCAAATGCCTTTACATAGTCAATAAATCACAAATAGACATTCTTCTGGTATTCTTTACTTTCAGCCAGGATCCATTTGACACCAGCAATGATATCCCTAGTGCCACGGCCCCTTCTAAATCCTGCTTAAACTTCTGCATTTCCCTATGTATGTACTCTTTCCATACCTATTGTATACTTTGCAAGTTCTCTGAGAGACTGGACTCTATGAGAAAGAGTATGGCATCAGGATTGGAAGAAGACTCATCAACAACCTGTGTTATTGAGATGAGACAACCTTGCTTGCTGAAAGTAAGGAGGACTTGAACCACTTGTTACAAAAAAATCAAGGAATGCAGCCTTCGGTATGAATTGCATCTCAGTGTCAGGAAAACAAGATTCTTACTACTGGAACTTTAGGCAGCATCATGATGGATGGAGAGGAGATTGAAACTGTCAACAGCTTTATCTTGCTAGGTTTCACAGTTAACACCCTTGGTACCAGCAGTCAGGGAAAACGGAGATACATTGCACTGGAAAAATCTGCAATTAGGAACCTTTTCAAATTGTTGAGGAGTAATGATGTCAGTTTGAGGACTAAGATGTGTCTGATTCAAGCCATCGTATTTCCAATTACTTTCTATGCATCTGAGAGTTGGATAATAAGGATGACGGAAAAAGAGTTGACATCTTTGAGCTGTGGTGTTGGAGAAGAGCACTGAACATTCCATGGACGGTCAAGAGGACAAACAGATATATCTTGGAGAGGATGCAGCCAGAGTGCTCATGGGAGTAAAGGCTTCACCTCACATACTTTGGGCATGTTGATAAAAGGTGCTAGTCCTTGGTTGCTGAGATGCACGATGCTGAAAAGGGTGGAGCGTCATCAAAAGAGAGGAAGACCCTCAACTAGGGGGATTGACACGGTGACTACTGCAATGGGCTCTTGTGTGTCTAGAAGTGTGAGGACGGTGCAGGACAGGACAAGGTTCAGCTCTTTTGGGCAGAGTTGCTCTGATCTGTACTCAGCTCAATGGCACATAACAACAACAACAACAGTGTCCACACTTTTGGAATTCCTACTCTCTGTTGTCCAGTGGACACACCTGCTATGTTTTGAGCCAGTGAGAGATACAGTGGAAATGAAAAGCATGATTACAGACTTTCTATGCAATGGTACCCACTTAAGAAATCTCAGATGCCTGGTTGGCATAACATTCTGTGCAAAGATCCACTATATGGTTCCTGCAGACAGCACAGTTATCAACCACAATATTTCAGGACCACAGAGCTACATTTTTTCACTTCAAAGTGCTTGTTGTCCTCATTGTTGTTGGTGCCACTTGGGGTATATACATCCATAGCTGCTGCCATTTTGGAAACACACAGGTTTATACTTTGAAAATTTTTATAGCAATTTTCTATTGCACATTGCCTAGTGTATGGCATTACTATGGAGAATATATTGAAAACAATTGAGACAGTTCATTAGTCTTTGGGTAATCACTATTAAATTATTATTGCTAATTTTGCCATTTTATTTTTTATTCCTTTTGCTTAAATTCTGCTAAATAATCACAGTAAATAATCTACATAATGGGCCTTTAGGATCATGGACTTCTATAGCTCTTATAACCTTTAACTGAGTTTCTCTTGTTTTGTTCTCATTGCCAGGACTTGCTAGTTTTTACATTTTACTGGGCAAGTGTACTTAATTGCTTTCCCTGTCACAAAATACTTTTTATAATTTGAAGAGTTTAATATTTTCTGCCATGGAAAACCAACTCAAGTGTGTTCTTATTTTGTGTTGAATAAATTAATAGACACTTAAATGAAGTAAATTTAAATGTACTTAAGTACAATTTTTTTGACCATCTAAATACTTTCACAATTTGCTTTCCATGTGCAGTTGGTTGAATAAGTAGAGCAGTAGAGTTTTAAAGTGAGCAAGAAGGCCATTTATTTAAAAGTAACAAAGCTTATTGTTTTCCATTATAGCATTAGTATCTTCCTGTTACTCCAAATTTAAGTAATTAAACTGAAGAAAGAGTCAGTTTTACCCAAGAAATCTGGAGGACAACCACCTGACCAACTGACTTGAAGATATCTATATTTGTTCCCATTCCAAAAAAAAGGTGACCCAACAGAAATTATTGAACAATATCATTGATACCACATGCAAGCAAGATTCTGCTGAAGATTATCCAAAAAATGAGTGGAACAGCACATCAACAGAGAACTGCTTGAAGAGCAGGCTGGGTTTAGAAGAGGCCGTGACGCTAGAGAGAAGAGGCTGTGACACTAGAGATATAATAGCTAATGTCAAATGGATCTTGGCTAAAAGCAGAGAAGACCAGAGGAATGTCTATCTGTGTTTCATTGGTTATGCGTGGATCTGGGAATCCCAGAACACTTGATCTTTTTTGATTTTTTTTAGAACACTTGATCTTGCTTATGCAAAACCTATACTTGGACCAGGAGGCAGTCATCAACACAGAGAAAGGGAAAACTGCATGCTTCACAATTGGGAAGGGTATACACCAGGGATGTATCCTATCTCCATACCTTTTCAGAAAAGATTATCCTGGAGGCTGGGGTCCATGAGGAGAGATGTGGCATCAGGATTGGAGGAAGACTCATCATCAATCTGCTTTGTACAGACGTTGAAACTGAGGAGGGCCTGAAGTGCTTGCTGCAGAAGGTCAATTACTACAGCCTTCAA